GGAGGCCCGTAATGATGAGATCAACTTCCTGAGGATCCTCTATGCTGCGGTGAGGACTCCATTCCCCCACCCCACCCCCCCATTCAGGGAAGGGACTCCTCCATCTGTGAGGCTGCTGGTCGGAACTGACAGTTCGTTGAAAGGACTCCAGCTCCCTTACTTCAGGGCCGTGGGCTCTCAGCAAGGTCATGGATAGAAAGGGTTGAAGTGAGAGATTCAACTGAGTGGTCTCAAAACCAGAGGTTGTCTTAGAAGATTAGGTCTAAAGATTGCATGGGATAGAAGTTATTGCTGTCTAGCATTTCTCTGGTGAAATAGATCCATTCCCTTCCCTTCCATGTAACATACTCAGGGCCCCCTGACCTGGAGGAGCTTAGGGAGCAGTAGGGACTACAAGCATTGCTTTTCTGACTTGGGATATCGCCAACCACTTGATTTCTACATAGAAATTTACCCCTCCTCCTTCTCTGTATGCAATGCCAAGTTGGCTTCCATCTGAGCCTGTGGCATGGCCATTTCCATGGTGATGGCAGGTCTCTGGTGTCAGAGATTAGGGAAGACTCTCCAGGAGGCCTGGTGTGAGACATTTTCCCTGCAGGAGCTGTCACAGATGCAGACCCATGTCAGCGACATGTCTGTGGTCCTGTCCATGGACAATAACCGCAACCTGGACCTGGACGGCATCATCGCCGAGGTCAAGGCCCAGTACGAGGACATCGCTCAGAGGAGCAAGGCCGAGGCCGAGGCCTTGTACCAGACCAAGGTGGGTGTCGGGGGTCTCTCAGGGGCCGAGAGTGGCTTCTGGGGCTCTGCTTTTAATGTCTGTGAGCAGATGAGCATCAGCTCGAGCCCAAGAGAAGTGAGGGGTTCTGGTTCTTCTGGGTGGCACTGAGCCTGGTCTGCCTGGAGATAGCATGACATTTTGTATCATTCCTGCCACCTGTGGCTATTCTTGCTGAGTCTACTTGAGAATAGACTCTACCCAAACACCCCTGACCCCTGATTCCCTGTGTCTCCTGGGTCTCAGGTCCAGCAGCTCCAGGCCTCAGTCGAACAACATGGTGACAGCCTGAAGAGCACCAAGAATGAGATTTCAGAGCTTAACAGGATGATCCAGAGGCTGCAGGCTGAGATCGAGAATGTCAAGAAGCAAGTATGTGTCACCTCTACCCGGCCTCGGTACAGGGCCAGGGGCCTGAGGCAGATGCCTCCACAGTAGACAAGCGGATAAGACATCAGCCCAGAAGATCCTGAGCTAGTCTGCGGGGGATTTGTAGCTCTTTGCATAAGTCATACCCAGATCTTTTCAGCAATATCCTAGTTAACATGACATGATAACCTCAGCAGATAAGTTTTCCTGGCTCTTTTTCATTGGTTTTGCTCATTTTATCTAATCAGTCTGGTGGGGGCATCGGTGGACCCTAGCTGGAGTGAATAAAATACATAAGAGTCAGGGAAGGTGGGGAGAAGGACAGACAGAATCCTGACATCCTAACCCAAGCAAAGCTGCTACAGGAGAGGGGACAGATTTAGAGGTCTTGACAGCAGGACCCTGGTGATTGCCTGTCCCGCGCCCCTGTCTGCAGTGCCAGACCCTGCAGGCATCCGTGGCTGGTGCAGAGCAGCGTGGGGAGGCGGCTCTGAAAGATGCCCACGGCAAGCGCACAGAGATGGAGGGCGCCCTGCAGAAGGCAAAGGAGGAGCTGGTCCGGATGCTGCAAGAGTACCAAGAGCTCATGAGTGTGAAGCTGGCCTTGGACATCGAGATCGCCACCTACCGCAAGCTGCTGGAGGGCGAGGAGTGCCGGTGAGGGGGGCTAAGGCAGGGTGGGAACAGGAGGAAGGGAGAGGGTCCAGAGCCATGGCCAGTCCGGGACACCTCTGCTGGACCACTTGCTTCTGTGCTGGTGTGTTATGAATCAGGACGGTGTTATGTAACAGGTTCACATTCAGGCCTCAAATCTGGCTGCTGAAGGATGGGAGGGTGCTTGATACCTGCTTGTTGAACCAAGTGTGGCTCCAGGTTTGCTGAGGTTCACTGCTCTTTCTGTTGCCCACAGAATGTCTGGAGAATGCCAGAGTGCCGTGAGCATCTGTAAGTACCATCTGCCCCCGCTGTGGCCATTTGTTCACCCTGGTTTGGGGTGAGATTCCTGGTTTCCAGCACTGTTGGAACGACCATGTCCTTGTCTTTCTCCCGCAGCTGTAGCTGGGGGTGCTGCCAGTGCAGGAGGCGTTGGTGGAGGGTTAGGAAGCTGCTCCGGATTTGGCCTGGGTTCTGGCTCCGGAAGTGGTTTTGGGTTTGGTGGTAGTGTTGGTGTCGGCGGTAGTTCCAGCAGCAAGATCATCTCTACCACCACCCTGGCCAAGAGATCCCACCGATAGAGGAGGTGAGGTCCCTGCAGCCGCCTGAGGCCAGCCTGGTCCATTCCTGGTGTCTCTGCTTCCTTCACCTCCACCTCCACCCTCCCTTCCTGGGGCTTATCTTACCAATGCCGCCTCAGTGCCAGGGCATGGACTCTGCTCTCTTGGAGTTTGGTAGCTTCTTCCTAATTTGGGCTTGCTGACCCAGCTGGCATGGGAGAGGTGTCAGCTGACTCTTCACCTCCCACGGACAGAGGAGAATCCAGCCAGGCGCTTCATCTCCAGAATTATTAGGGTCGCATATATCCCCACCCAGCCCAATGCCGCCTCCTACCAGATCCCGGATCTCCCTCTGCAGCAGGACCAAGCTCCTTCTCCATCACTTGGCGGCCTCTGACCCTGCAAGGTCAGGACAAGAGCCACTCAGTACCCTGTCCACCTCTTCTCCTTCTCTCTGTCCATCTTTGGGTGAATCTTCAATAAAAAGCTTTTGTCATTCACTTTGAGCAATCGTGTTTGTTCCTTGGGGAGAAGCCTCAAGAATTCAGGTGAAAGTGAAGGAGGCTGGGGCCTGAGGGGTCTGTCTGTCTGTCCAAATCAAGGTTATCAGCTAATTTCTCAGATCTCTACTTCTAAGTTGCCCAGATTATTAGGACAGAAGGGTCATGTGTGGAGCCTGAAGACTGCCTACAGAACAGGAGCACAGTCTCAAAGCAACCAACAGTTATCCAAAGATCGCGCATTGCAGGCAGTCAGGGTGGGGCCGTCTCAGTGCTGAGACCCAGGAGTATCTGGCGGGAAGGGGTGCAAGTCTGGAGGTGTGGGGTATAGGGCAGGTATGGGGACAGGCAGTCAGAGGTCTCCACTGAATATAGAACAAGAGGTCAGGGAGCTTATGCTCAGCGTCTAGCAAGTCCCTGTCTTCACGAAACTCCAGGCATGGGCTTTCCCACCAAGCCAGCAAGGCTTTTGGGAACTTGTTCGCAGAATCAACAAGGTCACGACTGTTGGATGGAGAAATGAAAACATGTTGCTCTCACAGAGCTTTCGTGCTGAGCTCACTTGCCCTTGTCCTCATGTGATTGTGTCCGAAGTTATGTCTAGTGGCTGTCCCTGAGTGGTGGGAGAGAGGGGGGTGTGAGGCAGGTCTTTGGGGGCACTGGAGGGTGTAGCTTCCTGTTTGGGGCCAGCCCTGGAGATTCCGGTTGGATATTCAGAGGTGGGGGTCTGGGTATAGCCTTTGTGGACATACTGTTTTTATACTGGACGGATTCCAAGATACCTGGAGCATCACAATCTTCCCTTCTTCGGAGGAAGTCCGCACAGCTCCCCTTGTGCAGTCTGACCTAAATCCCTCCTACTACGGTTGCAGACTGCACTCACTCCCCGGGCCGTCAGTTGGTGCCTCCCACCCTCGACTGCCATGGAGTGCATGCAGACTCCAATCCCTCCTCATGCTGCCTCCCACGGGCCCTTACTATGTGCAGAACAAAGGGCACGCCGTTTGCCCAAGGCTGGTCTCTGCCCATGGGGCCTTTGCCGCATGCAGGCAGGCTCAGGGCAGCAGGGCAGAGCAGCGAAATGTTAACCTCAGGGGTCTGCACTCCCAGGCAGGGGCCTCCTGCCAGAAGCAGCTGCTTCCTGCTCCCTGGGCTGGCCAGCTGGTCCTCCAAAAACTAATCTCCCCATAGACCCGGGGCTCACCCCGTGTGGCAGAGCAGGAAGTCTTTGACTTCTTTCCATCACTGCACCCCTCCCCTGGGAGAATGCTAAATCGGCTCTTTTCCGAGTTTCTGGGGTGGGGAGGAGGAGTCAAGGGTTGGAAGCAGGGGAGGGGCTTCTCAAGTTCACCCACCGGGAAGTTGTAGGTCGCGACGGGCCACGCCGAGAAGCCCAGAAGCCCAGAAGCCGGGCAGGTTACTGCCTTTTTTGTGCCCTCTGAGCGGGTGGAGTGCGGGAGCGGGGAGTAGCCAGCCTGAGTATCACTGTCGGGTCTCTCAGGGCCTCCTCAGTTGAATTTAATGACTTACACTCAAAGTTAGATGGTAGAAATAAAATTAAAGGTCCCTGCCATCCTGTCATTCTGAGCCTGATGGAAAAGACATAGAAACGTGTGATCACAGTACAGCGTGCTAAGACCTACAGACTGGTGTGCCAGGGGCTCTGGGCACAGAAGTGCACCCAAGCAGGGAATCAGAGAAGGCCTCCTGGAGGAAGTGACTCTGCCCTGAGTTGGAGCTGGTTAGGGAAAGAGGGAGGACGGGTGGGGGGATATTTTCCAGCTGGAGGGAGAGGCTCACGCAAAGAGTCAGAGACTTGAGAGCACATGGGCCCTTTATGGAACCTGGAACTGTTTGGCACAGGTGGAGAGCCAAGTAGGTGATGGGCAGGGGCAGTGAGAACTGAGTCTGAAGATCTTGGTGGATCTCAGATCTCAAAGCACCTTGATGCCAGGCTAGGAGTTTGAATCTGACCTTAACTTTGAAGGGCTATAGGCAGGGGAGTATCATAATCTAAGTTGTGTGTTGTAAACCTGCCGTGTGGAGAGTATGGGAATTTCAATTGACCTTAAGGCCGAATCCAACCATCAGTGAGATCAACTGTGTTTAAGGCAAATGAAGCAAGCCAATGAACGGATGGTTGAGTGGGAGGCAGGTGATAGGCCGGGCGAAGCTGGACAGGTACGTACCTCTGCCACACTCCCCAGGCAAAGGCACAGTCTGCCAGGCTGAGCTCGGCTCCTTGCTTTGACCCCTCTCCCCGTAGTTCCAGCAGCTGCAGCTGGCAGCTGGCTGGCCTGGGGATGACCTCAAACACACCAAGAACGAGATCTCAGAGCTGACCCGGCTCATCCAAAGGCTGCACTCGGAGATCGAGAGTGTGAAGAAGCCGGTGAAGGGGCTTTGGGGGTTCCTGGCTCAATCCCAAGGGAGGGGTGAACTGTCCATCATATACACTCCCCCATGCCCCTTCTCCTTCTCTGGGTCCTCCATCTCAGAAGCCCCTTCCTCAAATGGAGCCCCTGCTCTCATCGCCTGCACGTAGCTCCCACCTGAACTCTGGAACAATTGGAAGGGCCTTTTCAGAAAGCCAAGGGGCTGGGAATAACAAGCCCCCAGTCCCAGGTTGACAGGACTCTATCGCCATGCATGGGGTTTTGCTCTAGGAAGTGGAGCAGGACAGGGCTTGGTCCAACCACAGTAAGCACTTGGGGCGAGGGGCGGGAAGGGAGGCTCAGGCTGCCTTAGAACTGAGGGGGCAATGCCACCTCCTGGCCCTCAGTGCTCCAGCCTGGCGATGGCCACTGCTGACGCCGAGCAGTGGGGCAACTGCGCCCTGACGGACGCTTGAGCTAAGCTGGATGAGCTGGAGGCCACCCTGCTCCAGGTCAAGGAGGAGCTGGCCCGGATGATGCATGAGTACCAGGAACTTATGAGCACCAAGCTGGCCCTGGACATCGAGATCGCCACCTACCGCAAGCTGCTGGAGGGTGAGGAGTGCCAGTGGGTGATGGGAGGGGTCTTAGAATGTTCGGGCTGGAAGGACTTTTGGAATCCTCTGACTCAGTTTCCCAGATGGGGGGGGCAGGCTGCTGGAGGGGCTGGAGATGCTTTTTTAGGTCACCCACAAACGTAGCCTTATACAGAATCTGGTCAGATAATAAGATGATGATTTCCTTTGGGGTTCTCTTTCCAGTCTTCAGACTGTGATGGGGAGAAAGTTTCAGTGTAGTGCTGTTGTATCTTTAACACTGCTGCTCTGACACTTGCAAATGTCCCAGTTAGTGAAGAGATGGTAGATCTCAGCTTCACAGTCTCTGGGCAGACAAAAATATCTAGCCAAAATTTAAAAAAATTGTTTCATTCATTATATTATTTTTACTGCTAGTGTTTTTGTCTTTTTTGGTCCAGCAATACTGGTTTTCTGTTTACCCTGGTGATATAAGACTTCCTTTTAAGAGAAATGCATTTTTTATTATAAAAGGCAGGATCAATGGAAAATACTAAATATATAAGAGTATGAGTTATACGTGGTCGTAGCAACAATTGGAAGGGTGGTACCTGAAGCATTGACATTTGAAAAACCCTGTTCTAACCTTGCACCATTTTATAAATGAGACCTAGAGAGGAGAAGTTATTGGTCCTAAAATCATACAGTTGGTTCCTTAGCGGCAACTCCTGATGCTAGCGTTTCTACACGTGTATTTATTCAGGCAGTAGCCCCACAGGGATGAAGAAATGGGCTGAAGAGAAGCATGGCAGGAGGGCCTCTGGGAGGTGGTGTTGCCATGGCTGGGGGGGGCGCTCCAGGGTTGAAATTCGCACATCTCTGAAGGGGAAAGAGCAGATGAGGAGGGAAAGAGAGGTGATTAGAGTCACACAGGTACACTTCATGCCACCTGGCCAGCTAGAGGGCTTGTGGAGGCTGCAGTAGCCTGGCTGATGATTCCAGGCTGGGGTGAGCGTAACTTGGATTCCATGTAAAGGAGATTTACCTGTGCTTGTCTCCCTGTGCAGGATGTCTGGGGAATATACCAATTCTGTGAGCATATGTGAGTATTTCATTCCCTGAAAGAGTATTTTTAGCCCATTAATGAACACAAAGTAAGCAGTCCCCTACCACCAGGACCCCCTGGAAGAGCCTGGGCTCTGCCTGGTAGAGCATCATTGTCCTAATCGCCTCCTTTGATGAGACCTTCGGCCTCTTCCTCTGTGGCGTCAGCTTCCCATCACATTCTGACATTTCACACTGACCCCTTCCCCAGAAACCTCACCCATGCTAGGATGAGACTCTCAGTCCTACCCTCTTGTGTCACTCCCATCCCGGCTTTCCTTCATGACGGAAGCTGTGAGTAGGAAGAGGGGCACCTCCTCAATCAGACTGGGACCTGCGCACGGAAACACTGCGTGAGCCGGCAAAAACTCCCCTGGGATGAGCAATCAGGAACTGCTTTGAAAAAAATTAAGGATGTCTCCTTGAGTTAAATGTAAGACTTTTTGGCTTATGCGATACTTGGGCATCATCTGTTCTTTGGGGGAAGCCCCTGCTACTAGAATGAGGAGGCTCTGGGTTTGGGGGTCCCGCGGCATCTGGGCTGATTCTCCCAGTGCTTGAGCTGCCCAGGAATTGAGCATATATCACTAAACTCAAGTCCACTGTTGATGTGGAGTGTTTGTGTAAGAGGGACACATTAAAGCTAGTTGGGGCTGGGAGGTTGGAGAGGACTTCGGGTCAGCCCTGGCCTGGGACACACCCTTATCATCCCTCCCTCTGTCCTCCACAGCGGTCATCAGCAGCTCCATGGCCAGGACCGCAGGCGCAGGAGTCGGCTTTGGGTTCAGTGGTGCCAACACCTATGACTATTGGCCCAGCTCTGTCGGCAGGGGCTATGGCATCCTGTCTGGGGGCTGTGTCACTGGCAGTGGGAATTGCAGCCCCCGCGGGTGGCCAAAACTAGGCTGGGGAGTGCACGTGAATTTAAGGATTGCTGGGGAAGCCCCCAGCTCTGAGCTTACCCACCAAGAAAACCACAAAATAAAGTGAAAGACAGCTGTCCAGACATCTTGCTCTGGTTTCTCCTGGACTCCCTGCTCCAGGAAATTCCTCCATCACATTTGTCATCATCCCTTCCTTGCTTTTCTTCTCCACTGACATGTCCTCTCTTGCAACTCTCTGCCTTAGTCCTTCTTAATTAAGAATAGGGATTCTAGCCCATCTTTCTGCTTTCACACCAAGAGGCCTCTTAACCCAGCCTCCCCTTCCTGCTGCATTGCCCAGGATAAAGACTTGACCCTTTCTCTGGCTGCATGCCCCCTTGCAGATGAAGGTTTTCTCTAAAGGGCATCCCAGGCCTCCTGTTGCTCCTTCCATGCCCCAGCTTAGGTAGTTATCCAGCCATATGCTCCATGGGTACAGGAGATTACAGGTCCACTGATAGACCTGCAAGGACTGTATCTTGCTAGAGCAACGTCAGCTCTGGGGAAACACCTGGTTATTTGTTGTATCTTGCATGGTCCCTGCAGACTATAGCTGGGAGCACCCCTGCAGACTGATCCCATCAATGAAGGGATCTGTGTTCTCAGCATGTACATTTTTGTCCTGGTTCAGGCCTCTGTCCCTGCTTCCTCGTCTCACCAATAAACTTATACAACTCATGCAGGCCCAGGATGCTTTTCTCTCCTAAGGGAATCCTCATCTTAGGCCAAGTCTCTCCTGTATGTAGAGGTCAATGACCTGGAGCCCAGGGCATCTGAGGCGCATCTCTCTTCCATAGAGACCCGAAGTATCCTTTGATCTGAGTGAAAGACATCCTTGCACGGATGGCAGGACCCCACCATCACCTCCGCTGGATTTTGTGATACTCAGGATTCATCTCTGTCTCCCATCCCCAGCAGATGCATCTTTTTTTTTTTTTTTTTTTTTTTTTTTTTTTTTTTTTTTTTTGT